ACCCCATGACAGATGTGCCACCCCATGACAGATGTGCCACCCCATGACAGATGTGCCACTACTGCACACATGGGCCTCTCTTGCCATGCCAATCGGTACTGTAGCCCACAGTGTTAATAGCTAGCTGAAGGAGATAATTGAGTGATTTTTTTTTTTCCTACCAGTATCCTTCAAGGTTCCTTCTGGTACTATAAAAGCCAGAAGGTTGGTTTGTTTTCTGTTAAACAATCAAGTCTGGACTGTATTATATGTATTTTATGGTGAGTGAGAGTTCATGATCACCTTTGAATGTTGCATGGACTCTTCTTTTCCAAATCTTTATAACAGAACTTTCAATTGGTCTGTAAAGTTAGGAAGCATAATTGGGAAAGAGAGAAAATAGTTTATTCTTTTTTCTAATTTAAGTCGTTATTCATTCTTTGTGAACCCCACATGCATCTCAATCGCACTTACCTCCTCATCCCCCTCATCTGCTCTCTGCCTCTGCAACCTCCCCTCAAAATAAAACAAAATAATATTTATTTAAAAGAAAAGAAAAAGAAAATCTCATCATGGAAGCTGCCATGTGACATAGTGAGTCATGTAGTAAACCCTTTTGTCCATATAGCTTTACTTGCAAGTGTTCATTGCAAAGAGTCATTGATCTAATTTGAGTCCTCTGGCTTCTGCTACACCATCAATATTGGGCCCTCACTGGGTCTCCTCTTGGATATCCTGTTTTTGTCCTGCATCTTGGTAGTTATTCATTTTTGTTTTTGAAGAGCTATTATATGTAAAACTTTGTGGGATTCACTGATAATAGAAGTATATAAGGTGCATATTAATATTTAAAAGGCAGTTTGGCTATGTGGAGCCACATATAGTTTTAGTACTTTGGGACATCTACAATTAAAAAAATTGTTTCTATTAAAAATTCAGCTGGAAGTGGTGGTGCATACCTTTAATCCCAACACTTGGGAGGCAAGGGAACTCTATGAGGTCCAGAACAGCCAGAGCTGCATTGTGAGACCCTGTCTCAAAACAAACAATCAAAGCATACTGTTTTGTGGCATTTCCAGGCTAATACATGACAGAGATCAGGAGACTGCTCATATATAGCATTAGGCAGTGTTTGAGAGTAGATCAGTTCGTTTCCTTTGACCATTTGGGCAGTTAAGACTGAATGTAGTGGGGTTAGAGAGGTGGCTGGTGGTCACAGGTGTGCAGTCGCTTTGGTGAAGGATCTGAGTTTGCTTCCCAGCACTCTTGTTGGGCAGCTTCATGGCATCTGACAGCCTCTTGTGGACTCCTTGGGCATTGCATTTATGAGCACATACTTGCACATATACACATAACTAAAAATATTTATATGATATATATATATATAATAAAGATAGAATGTGTATATAGATAGAATATGTAAGGGTCTTAGGAAAACCATACTAACCTTCCAACAGAGTCCATATTCTAAATTCTTTGTGAATATAAAACACTGAACACAGAAAGCTTTTTGTGTCTGGTCCCCAGTAAATTTCTTTTGTGTGTGTTCATGTGGGGATGGGCATTTGTCAGTGTGCTGAAAATGCTGTTAAGGGATCAGCCATAATATATAAGATAGCTCTACCACCCTTGGCAAGAAACAACTCAAAAGTGTGTTTTAGCTTGTGGTAAAGGGATACGGCGCATCGTGTTGGAGAAGGGATGGAGGTGGGGAGGCCACAGGGCTGGCTGTGGCATGCCATTGCAGTCCGGAAGCAGAGAGATGGATGATGGCACTCACCTGGCTTCCTTGTTCTCCATCCCAGCCTGTAGTTCATGAGATGCTGCCGCCTGTGTTAGGGGTGGATCGCCTCTCCTCTTCAGTTTACCTCCTAGGAAGTGGCCTCACAGGCGTCTAGAGGTGTGTCTCCTAGGTGATTCTCAGGACTTCGAAGTTAATGATTCAGACTAACAATCATCCTTCTGCCCTTTCTCAGCTTGATACCCGAGCATATCAGTTTTAATCATGACATCGCACCTCTGATGCTCAGTTAACTCTAACTCAGACACACCCAGTGAGGAGTGGGAGGTTCCTCTGTAATAATCTCTAACCGTTAAACACTTGTTTTTCCCACATCTGCCATGTCTGCAACTTTCACTTTGTTAACACTCCTTTTCCTACCAAACTACATTTTTTAATACCTTTCTGCTCTGCCTCCTCTCTCTCACTGGATACTTGAGAGCAGAGCAGCGTAGTCAGTAGTAACCACACTTCAGCCCAGATGCTGTAAAGCCTTAAAATTCCTTCCCCAGAACAAATTAGTCCATTACGTTCAAATTTAGCCTCACTCAAATTCTCAGGATGCTGCAGAATGCAGCTGCGTTCTTTTCTAGAATGTTCCATGAATGGCCCGTAGTCCAGTTGCCAGCCAAAACTTGGAGAGCCAGACTTCACTGCCTAAATTTCTGTTAGCCTCCTGGTTTCCCCATGATTCTACCAGAATTGTCCAATGATCTCTGTCTACAGCATTTCATCATTTCTCTAGCTCACGGTCTGAAATCTCTGAAATGTAGTCAGGGCAGCAAGTGCCCCTTTTTGGAACAACCTGTGTTAGTTACTTTTCTCATGACAGTGTCCAGATAGCATCGTGGAATAGATTTCAGATATTTTCATAAACTGACTAGATGTATTGACTCTCCTTTAGAGAATAAGGAGCTTATAGATATGGAAATGTTCAGATGGAAGGAGACAAGCAGTTATAAAAACAAAGAGGTTCCACTGTGGTGGCACCACAGAACGCAGGCAAAAGAGCTGTTTCCCTGTTTCCCCTCCACTTCAGCAGCTGAAGATAATTGCTGATGTAGCGGTCAAGAGACTGGAACTAATTCCTGCCCCACCCAGCAGTGTGTCCATTTTTATGGCTTGTCTAGAAAGTAATGTATGGAAACATATCATATATCTTAAAAATAGTACCTACTGAATAAAGCATATATGTGAGGTAATGCTAACAAAAAGTATATAAATAGAATATATGAGTCCTACTGGGTAAAAGTGTAACCAAAATGGGATATTGTCTAATCTTAACACAGCCTTCACCTGAGATACACCTCACTAACTACAGCATGTGCAGACAGCAGGCAGTGGGGGCAGGACCTGGAGACTCTGTTTTCGGCTGCTCGTCACCAGTGATGAGACGTGTGCATCCCTTGTCTTCTACAAAGAACTAAGGTCATTTCTTAGCATTCAGGCTAGACACCTAACCTGAATTTAATAACATTAGAGAAAAACAAAATAAGGGAAACACCCTACAAAGTAACTGATTAGTACTCCTCGAAAATGCCATGGGTTTGAAAGACAGACTGAAGAACTGTTACAGCTGGACAATTAAATGCAATGTGGCGTAGGTTTAATCTTGGTGCAGAAAAGGGTGTTAGAGGGAAAGTGGAGGCGCTTGTATGAAGTCTGTAGGATGGCTGGTTACACATCTGTATTGGCTGGCTACACATCTGTATTAGCTTTCCGCTTTGATGATTGTGTTGATTGTATTTGCGAAAGAAGATGAAGAAAAAGACATATTGAGACTTTTTTTTCCTAAGTGAAATTACTTCACAGTGTGTAATTTTATTTTATTTTATTTAAACTTAAAACCGTTCTAAACTTTCAGACTAAAACAGATACCTCTGAAAAAACAACTGATCAGTTATGGCTTGATTCTTCTGAGGCAACTGTCAGAGAAGATATTCTGCGTCTGAAGAATGAAGTTCAAGTTTTACAGCAACAGAACCAGGTGAATAAATGTCTTTTAATGAGGCTTTCGTGGCCTTACTGAATCCCCAGGGAGCACAGCCTGATGTGGCAGACACGGCGGTGTGAGTTAGTGGGCATGTTTTGGGAAGTTCTTGTGGTTCTGGCTGGTTCCCTTACTGTTGCTTGGGTGGTACTGTTATTGGAAGTTATTGAGTGGGTCCCATTTTGTGTGGTAGCCCGACCAGTAGATACGATCTGTCTTCTTAGCCAGCTGTTGACCAAGAAATGGGATCTTCCCCCATCTTAACAATTTCAATAGTTTTTAATTCTGTGAGCCGTAATAGCTTGATATAGTCAAATAAAAAGGTCTCTATGAACACCTTCCCTCCCCACTTCCCCAAAGCAGGGGTTTTAGTGTAAGTGATGGAGGCAGGAGAGGAGATGGGAGCAGCTTTATTTTGATAAAGATTATTGAATTCTAAGATTTACTTTAAGATATCAATTAGCTTAATACTTCTCTGGTTAAATATTTCCATTTGATGCATTTTAAAACAAATACAATATTTTAATGTTTACTCCTAGTAGAATGCTACTTACTACAGAAATATGTCTATCTTACTTAGGTGTGAAGATACTTTTTCTTTTGTAGAATTGTGAGAGAGAGTGTATGAGATAATGGTATAAGACGGAGGATGTTAAGACATTAGACTAATCAATTCAGGTGGGGTTTCTCTCTGTAATCCTTTGTTCTGTGTCTAGGAACTTAAAGAAGCTGAAGAGAAACTGAGAAGTACAAACCAAGACTTGTGTAATCAGATGAGACAGATGGTACAGGACTTTGACCACGATAAGCAGGAGGCTGTGGCTAGGTGAGTCCCGTTGGTGCCCATTGCTCATCTTCTGGGTAGCACAGTCTTCTCCCCTTGCAGCCCTCTGTCCAAATGGAGTGAACTGTCCCTGTGGAGATCTCAGCTGGACAGAGGTCAGCCCCTACTTCCCACGTTAGAACTTGGAACCCAGAGACAGAGTTATGTGGTGGGCTAACCCAGCTCATCACAGCTGTAGTGCACTGAAATACTAGGGCTGATTCTAAAGGCTCATCCGGGAATCTTGGAGGCGTTTGTCTTCCAAATACTGAGTGACACATTTGCAAACAGTCCTTTGGAAGATAATCTGTAAGTTGGCTGCTGCTGGTATTTGAATATCAAACATATATGATTTGAATTTGGGGATTGTTTCTCAGTTATTTCAATTAAACAGTTATTTCTTTATAAACACCAGTCCTCAGTATAGACTAACTATTCTGTTTGAAGTACTGGGACATTGTCATACCCAAGTCCAGTTTTCTCTAGAAACGTAAGAAAGAAATCTTTGAAGATTCCTGTGAGACCAGTAGTTTTAAATGAACTCTTGTTTTTGGTTGGGGAAAAACAATCTAACCTAATTATAATTTGCATTAGTGAGAACAAGAGGAAGGAAGGCAGGCAGGTAGGCACCAGGAAGGTAGACAGGTAGGAAGACAGACAGGAAGGGAGGCAGGCCAGTTCATCCTGTCCCTGGTGCTGCGTGGCTCTAGTTCCCTTCTCTCTTGCTAGGTGTGAGAGGACTTACCAGCAGCACCACGAAGCCATGAAGGCTCAGATTCGAGAGAGCCTTTTAGCGAAGCACGCTGTGGAGAAGCAGCATCTCTTTGAGGTCTATGAGGGGACCCAGTCACAGCTCAGGTAAGAGGCGGCCTCATTGCCTGTTTGCTCGGTAATTTGGAGGGGTGTGTGTGTGTGCGCGTGTACGTGTGTGTGTGTGTGTGTGTGTGTGTGTGTGTATGTGTGTGCGTGTGGTGTGTATTCACATGTGCGTATATGCACACACCCGCTTACTTGCTGGTTGTGTGTCTCCAAGGTCTGACCTCGATAAGATGAACAAGGAGATGGCTTCTGTGCAGGAGTGTTACCTGGAAGTATGCAGAGAGAAGGATGAGCTGGAATCTGCCCTCAGGAAGACCGTGGAAAAGGCTCAGGAGCAAAAGGTATCCCATCTCCTCTCCTGCCTCCATCACTTACACTAAAACCCCTGCTTTGGGGAAGTGGGGAGGGAAGGTGTTCATAGAGACCTTTTTATTTGACTATATCAAGCTATTACAGCTCACAGAATTAAAAACTATTGAAATTGTTAAGATGGGGGAAGATCCCATTTCTTTTTTAAAATTTTAATCTATGATTTATCTTACTATTTTTAATTATGTGTATGTGTATATATCTCTGGGTATGTTGTGCACACGAATGCAGTTGTCACAGGCCAGAAGAGGGCGTTGTACCTCTGGGGCTGGAGTTTCAGACTGTTGTCAACTATCCAGCATGGGTCCTGGGAACCAAACCTCGTCCTTAGCAGAAGCAAAGTGTACTTGTAACCACTGAGCCATCTCTTCAGCCTCACCTTTATAGACGTATTCTGGGACACAAAGCAGTCTGGACCAACTCATTCCCCTTGGCATCTCCATTTCCACGTGTTTGCTGCTTGTGCCTGCCCAGGAGGTCCTGCACAGCTTATGAGTGCCGCGCAACATACAGTGTGCCTGCGGCTGTGAGTGCCATGCACAATGTGCCTCTGGCTCTGAGTGCCCCGCACAGTGTGCCTCCGGCTCTGAGTGCCCCGCACAGTGTGCCTGCGGCTGTGAGTGCCACGCAACATACAATGTGCCTGCGGCTGTGAGTGCCACGCACAGTGTGCCTCCGGCTCTGAGTGCCCCGCACAGTGTGCCTGCGGCTGTGAGTGCCCCGCACAGTGTGCCTCCGGCTGTGAGTGCCCCGCACAGTGTGCCTGCGGCTGTGAGTGCCGCGCACAGTGTGCCTGCGGCTGTGAGTGCCCCGCAGAGTGTGCCTGCGGCTGTGAGTGCTGTGCAGAGCGCCATTAGCGGCTTTCTCCCTCACTTTTTGCACATAGCAGAGCTTGTCACTTACTGTCCTGGAAAGGACGAGTTTGACTGACATCTTGTGACAAGGAAGGTGAGACTCTGGAGAATGTGACCACTGGTCTCTCGGGAGCTGGAGGAAGAGCAGAGGGTTCTTTATGTGACCAGTCCTTCCTGCTGCCCTTGCTGCATGTCTGGTGCGCTCATGGGAAGCCGTGGTCAGCTCTGTCCTCTGGAGATGGAGATCTGACTCTGGTTGGTTTGGATCAGCCTGCAGGCCACAGTTGGAAAGCTACCTGCTTCAAGACTCGAAGCTAGGTCCAGAGTCCTGACTCAACATTCTGTCCAGATGTTTTTGAATATGAGATCTTAAAGCAAGGCATTGCCATCACATATGTGGGGACAGCAGTCATGAGCAAATGGATGTTCTTTTCATGTAATAGTTTGCCTATATATCAGTAGATCACCATGACGGAAAGCATGCCATGTGTGTTATGTCGCTCAGTGGAAAATGAATTTTTAAAGGGAGTGGTTTTAGTTAGTGTTAGCTACAGAAGAATTACAAAGGATTTAAAGTTATTTAGAAAGTGAGAACTTAACTTTTAGTAATTTTATAAAAATTAAAATAAGGGGAGAATCAATAATATGAGTGTTAGGTACAGAGTTTATAAAACGTGTAGGACCAAGATTCATGCCGCATGCACCGTTTTGTTTTTTGTAAAGACAGAGTCTCATACTGTTGCCCAGGTTGGCTTTGAACCTGCTATGAAGCCAGGAATGACCTTGCCTCCACCGTGCCCACATTGACACATTTCTAACATGGCGATTGTCGGTCCTACATAGAGATGCTGAGATGCTAACCTGAGTTTTGTTTGCAGAGGCAGCTTCTGGAAGACAGAGAAGAGTATGTAGGCAAACTGAAGTTAGAACTTGAGGAGAAGTACCAAGAAACTCTTAAGACGGCGAAACAGAATTGGCTGAAAGAGCAAGAAGCTGGCGTTAAAGAGCGGGCCGAGGAAGAGGTGACGTCACTGGGAGAAAGGGGCTGGGTCAGAGTTTCTTCGGGTCACTCTGTCTATTTTATTTGATTTTTCCCAACCCTGGCTGGCTTGGAGCTTGCTGTGTAGAACAGCCTGGCCTTAAACTCACAGACATCTGCCTGCCTTTGCCTCTTGAGTGCTGGGATTAAAGGACTGAGACACCACACCTGGCTTCTGGTCACTCTGTGTGTTAGTAACTGTAGTCATTCTTCCTGAACATGAGGCTTATAATTAATTAGCAAGTATGTAGATCGCATCTGTTCTGTCTCTCAGAGTCTGGCTCTTAGAACACATCATACCACTTTGACTTTTCAAAATTATTCCATGATCTTTATCCCAAATCAGGATATAATTTTTTTTTTTTTGGATATTTCTTTGATTCCTAGAAATAAAACTATGGTCTCATTTCCTATTATGAAATGGCTCTAGTAAGTCTATACCAATGTCTCTAATTATGTCATTATAGTCATAAATGAATAATGCATTGGATTAGGAGAAAAGTGATGAGCAGGCTCAGCAGCCGAAACTTTAAGAAATGAATTTATTTAATTACAAATGTAGCGTGTTACTTAGGCCACTTTCATGCAAGTATAAGACTGTCCTTAGATCTAGTGCCGTGCCCTGCCTGGCTTCTCTGCTCACCCCTCCCCCATCCCACTGGTCCTTTATTTTCTAAATGGTTTTCCTTGTACTTTTATGTTCCTGTATATACTTGACTGTGTGTATCTTTATGAACTCTGTAGACCCACGGTGGGATGAGGTATTTATTCTTTATTATTTATCCTTCTGAGACTGACTTCGTTTGTCTTCAGCTGTATCTGCTTTCTTGCAAATGCTGTGACTTGGTGGTTCTTCGTGACTGAAGGGCACTCTGTCGTGTGTGAGTGGCATCCTCTATTGGTCCCCCTGTTGCTGACATCTGGGTTGCGACTGTACTTAGCTGTTGTATGGTGCATGGCAGTATTGTGAGAGTCTCTGCCGTGTGCTGACTTGCGTCGTCTTTGGGATAAACACTGGTGGTGGCATGGCTGTACCTTTTCCTAGCTTTAGTTTTGGTTTGGAGGAACTCCGTACTGGCTTCCACAGTGGCTGGACTGGGCTTGTCGTCCCTGACAGCAGCGTCCAGGCTTCCTTTGGTCTGCATCCTTGCCAGCACGGGCATTTATCTCCTCTGTCTCCTCTGCCTTCTTCTTGAGACAGGGTCTCACTTTGTAGCCTGGAACTTGCTATGTAGACCAGGCTGGCCTTGGACTCAGATCCATCCACCTCTGCCTTCTAAGTACCGGGATTAAAGGCGTGCACAACCATGCCTGGCTGGTTCCTTAGAAATTTAAGGACTGAAGTATGACCTTAAACACTTAGAAATAAAACAAAACAAAAAACAAACAAACAAACAAACAAAAAAACCCCAGAATTCTAGCTTGTTGAAGATTCTGTCATAGATTCTGCCTTTGAGCTTGCTATTCTGTTAGTTGGTAGCCAGGAAGTTCTTTTAGAACTCCAGGTAGTCAGCAAATGGGACAGGCAAACAAGGAAAGGCCGGTCTGCTCCTTTATAGTTTTGTATAAGACTAATTAGACCCACCCCACTGCGTTGCTGAGCATGGGGAACGCATGAAGAGGGTCTGTCTGTGACACCTCCCTCCAACTTAATATATACTGACTAAGATTCCAGGGTGTTGAAGTCGATGAGACTTTCTTACACCCTGTTGATTAGATTTACCCAGTGCTTGCTCGTGGAAAGTGGCGTCGATGTGAAACTCTGTAGTTAATAGCAAACGATTCTGTGAGTTTTTGTCATGACATTTCTTCAGTGACAGAGTCAGAACTTCTTGGTCACATACTGACCGTGGGGTGCTCTGCCCTTAGTACTGTCATTAAGTCTTCATGGGAATTCTGTTCTGTAGTAAAGCCGAAGAGGAATTTTCAAGTGTTGCTTGAGAATGTATTTTTGTGGACTAAATATCTAGCCCTCATATAATAACTCCAGGAGTAAGTATCAGCTGTGTCCATTGGCTGCTGCAGGACACATGTGCCCAATGTGCAGAACTTTAAACTTACCTAAAAGGAGACGATCTGTGTGATTGTGGACCATGAACTTGATAGAGGACACCATGTGTCACCGTGTCAGAATGCTCGCCAGCTACCCTCCAAGGGTTTTAAGTACACCTGTAGTTGCTTTCTTTGAGTAACGTTTATTTAATTCTAGTTTTTACTTTATTGAGTGCTTTTCTTCTATTCCTTCTAAAAACAGAACAGACAAAAACTCATTCAACAGCTGGAAAAGGAGTGGTGGTCCAAACTGAACCACAGAGTAAAGACCCCGAGAAAGGCAACTTCTGACTCCGGCAGTCAGACCGACCAGGTGGCCCTTCCGGATGCCGTGTCTAAGGCAGAAGCAGCGGTCCAGGCAGAGGAGCAGGCTCACAAGGTCCAGCGGGAGTTGGAGCAGGAGAAGGAGATTGCTGTCAAGGAAGCTCTGAGGAAGCTTGAAGTTGAGTTGGAGCTCAAGTACTGTGAGAGTATTACGCAACAGGTGATGGGCACAGTCAGCCGAGTGACGTTTGGGGGTTGCTGATCAAGGAAAATCCCGGAAATGCTGCCTTTGAACTGGGGTGTGACTTTATATGTTTTTAAGGTTTTAGCATTTCTAGACTGGAATAGATACTGCAGTGTCTGTAAAACTTTTTTCATTTTGGTTATAAAACTCTTTCTGTGTTCTTTGAGTTTTCAAAGTGCTTGCTTTCTGAAATCTAAGTGTTAGGATGCCTGAGGGTGTGTATGTGTGTGTGCACGTGCATTGGTTGTTTTAACATTCAAATTAAGAAGTAATGAAGAATCTTCCACATCTAGTTTTGTAGAAAGTAGTCCACTAAGGTACCTTCGTTAGCAGTTTTGGATGAAGATACTTAGCAGCAGTGGTGGTGAAGTTCTCTGCTGAATGGGTTGGCAGGTCTGCCCCGCAGTGGAGCTTTGCAATTCCCGTCAGTGGCCAAAAAGGGGTGCCATTGCCTTTCCCTTACAGCATCCACAGCCTGGCTGTAGACACGGATGAGAACAGTTTCAAAGCAAGACTGTCCTGAGGAAAGTGTGGTTCGTGCTAACAGAGTGAAGACGACTTATTCTCGTGTACCTAGGTTAGTTAGTGCAGTGATTCTCCTGGAGAGCTGCACTGTTGATGTGCGAAAAAAGAGCAGAGTGCTGAAGGCAGGCCATGTCTTAAAAATCTATTATCTACTTATTATTTTAGATATTTTACTTTAAATAAGAAGCTGCCTGGGCTGGGGGTGTAGACTAGTGATATCATACTTGCCCAGCACAATAAAACCCTCATTTCAATCCCTGTACTAAACAAAACAAAAACCAAAACCGAAAAACAGTAACTGAAGGAAGGTATTTAATTAGTCTTAGCTTTTGATAAATACTCAGCAGTTTGTGCATATGCATTATTCTATATGTTATTGTAGGCTGTCTTACAGTCAGGAAACATAGGCAAATAGACATATGTGGCATTTCAAGGACACCTTTGTCTGCTAAAGTTTCCTGAAATTAGGCCTGGTGTTGCTCTTAAAGAGAGGCAGGATTACAAGTTCCAGGCCAGCCTGGTCTACATAGTGAGTCCCAGGCCAGCCTGGTCTACACAGGGAGTCCCAGGCCAGCCTGGTCTACATAGTGAGTTCCAGGTCAGCAATCTTCTGAAGTCTTTACTAAGGTTCAGAAAACATTGGTTAGAGAAGTGTTTAAGAATGCTTCTTCAGTATATATGAAATTTTAGATCATATGAAGAAAAGTAAGAAAAGCCAACACAGTATGGAGGAAATGTCTCCAGAAAACATAAATTTCTGTAGCAACTCTTATCTTCTTGCTCTAGTTTAACTACCTGGAGTTTATATGCACAGCAATTAGTCCTTTCACTGGAAAATGTTTGTGTTGGCTCTGCATTGTTATGTGTCTATCTGTTTTAGAAGAAAGAAAAAAAAGTTTAATAAACTTTGTCCATGTAATTGCTGACAGATTATAACCTGCTCACCCTTAAAGTTCATCATGTTTATAGAGTTCTTGTCTGAACCTGAGGGTCATGTGCATTCTTACATCCAAATTCATTCTTGACAGCAGCAATCTGTGCTAGGTATGAGGCATGTCCGTGTATGTGTGCACATGGTGTGCTGGTGGAGCATGAGCCAGGAGGGGTGGGTGTAATGATTGACAGCAGCTGGCACTAGGCGACCTGCTGGGATACTTTAGTTTTCCTTCCAGGAGCAATAGAACTTGGTGGGGAATGACAGAGCTTTGTAAGAAGCTTCTGATGACTGCATTGCTCATCAGATACAGAGTCCCACTTCCTGCCTTGCCCTTTGCGGGGGACAGAATGTAATTTAGAGAGGATTGCTGTTTGCTGTTTATGAAATCAGTGTGGTTGTAACTTAGGGAGACACAATGTAAAATATATATGAGGTCATAGTTGCTGTGAAATTTTACCCTTGTTGTGCCTCTCTCCTGTCATCTCCTGTAGGTGGAAACAGCTGTGCAGAATGCCCGCAGTCGCTGGCTGCAGGAGCTGCCCAAGCTTGCAGAGTACAAGGCACTGCTGAGAACCCAGCAGCAGGAGTGGGCAGAGCAGCAGGAGCTGGCGGTGGCCCAGAGGGTGAGTGCTGCGCCGTTCTGTCCATATCCTCCCACCTCCACTCTGGAGTGTGCACCTGCTGCTGGTGCTGAACCCTCACACTGCGCATGGAGCCTAAGCACGTGGAATCCGCTCTTAGCTCACTGGAGGGGAAGGCCGTGTACCTCAGCACCTTGACCCTCACATCAGAAACATGGCTGCACTTAGAACTTAACCCCATTTTATTGTGGACCGTTTGGTTGAGATTGAGAACAGGCCTCTTTGCTCCTTGTTACCATTTCACACGTGTGAAGATTTCCTGAGCTGACTGTAGTCTTAGAGCGTGTTCACTTTGTAAATACCCAGCTCTCTAAAGGGTTTGTGCTCTTCAAAAGAAAAACCCAGATGTGTAACCCCCACCCCCATTTAATTTATGAATTTTAACCTGATTGCAATCAAAGGGGAAGCAAGCTGGAAATAAATTTCAAGTTTGGCATAGTAATTCTAAAATTTATTTTGAAAAATAAAAGACTAGACTTCCTTATTTCACTGTTTTGGAAAAGGTATTGTAGTCCACACAACAATGTGTTTGAAAGCAAAAACTGCCTTGACTCATAACAACACACTTCATACAAGACAGACTTGAAAGATAGGCCCAACTTTGAATAAAATGTTTAACAAATTGTTTCCAAGCCAAAGAACGAGGAATGGATTACTCCATGCTGAGTAGTCTTGTGATAACCCAGTAATACTTTGGGAAAATGGTTTTACCCACCTGTGTGTCACAGTAAACTTTAGATTGATAGAGTTAAACATTTGAACAATGAAATTGTGTGATGGTGCATGTCTGTGACTCCAGCACTTGAGAAGCCTGATGTTCAAGGTTATCTCTTTTTTTTGAGACAGGGTTTCTCTGTGTAGCTTTGGTACCTGTCCTGGATCTTGCTCTGCAGACCAGGCTGGCCTCGAACTCACAGAGATCCGCCTGACTCAGCCCCAAGTGCTGGGATTAAAGGCATGCGCCACTACCGTCTGGCTCAACGTCATCCTTGACTACAGAGAATTTGAGTCCAGCCTGGGATACATGAGACTTTGTCTCAAAAATAGACAAATAATGAAATTTCAGTATTTTCTTACTGTGTAATAGTAAGTGCATAAGTATTTCTTATTTATGTATTTTTTGTGTGTCTGAAATATCTGAAAGGAAATGTCTCAGAGGGAGAGAGAAAGGAAGCAGTATGATGAGACTCAGAAGTCGAGTAAAATAATAAAGTTGGCTAGAACACAGAAAGCAGATAGCCAGAAGGTCTCTGAGAGTACAGAAGGCATTTACAGTCCTGGCTCTCGGGAGGCTGAGGCAGGAGGATCTCACATGCCTCAGTCGGTAATGCGCTTGCTGTGCAAGCGTGAAATGACGAGTTTGGAGCCTCAGAACCCACCTAAAGCCAGGTGCACGTGCACCTGAGCATGGCTGGAGACAGCCAGAGCAGGGGCATTGCTGACCAGCCAATCTAGTGGGAACAAGATTCAGAGTTAGTGAAAGACTCGCTCCGAAAAATAAGATGGAGCAGAGGCAGGGGTCCCAGTGCCAGCCTCTGGCACCTTCACAGGTGAGTGTACCCGAGCGCGCGCGCGCACACACACACACACACACACACACACACACACACACACTAAAATAAATAAAGATCCTTAAGTCTAGTGTAAGCATATTCTACAGAATGTATGTCACATCTAGATTTATTTTCCCTTTCTTTTGTGTTTTAAATTGCTTGTTTAATTGGGAGGTTAGCCCAGATTCTTAGGATCTGTTGTTAGTAAAGACTGTCAGAGACTTTCAGATCTGTGTTGCTGACCTACTGAAATGTGTGCTCCTGTACCTTCTAGCTGTCACTTGTACTCTCTGAAGCTAAAGAGAAATGGAAAAGTGAGCTTGAAAATATGAAACCACATGTAATACCTGTCAAGGAACTGGAAGAGAAAATTCACTCTCTCCGGAAGGAACTGGAGTTGAAGGATGAGGAAGTCCCTGTGGTTGTCAGGGCTGAGTTGGCTAAGGCCCGAACTGAATGGAACAGAGAAAAACAGGAAGAAATCCATAGGATTCAAGAACAAAATGAGGAAGATTACCGGCAGTTTCTAGATGATCATCGGAATAAAATTAATGAGGTACTTGCGGCAGCGAAAGAGGACTTTGAGAAGCAGAAAACTGAGCTACTTCTTCAGAAGGAGACAGAGTTCCAGGCATGTCTGGACCAGAGTCGCAGGGAGTGGACACTGCAGGAGGCTGAGCGGACGCAACTGGAAATCCGTCAGTATGAGGATGACATCCTCACTGTGCTGGAGTTCCTCCTAAGGGACACCCAGAAGGAGTTTGCTGGTGACTCCCAGGGCAGGCAGCTTTTGGAAGTCATGTCAGTTTGTTCTTCAAAATGGGTATCTCTGCAGTATTTTGAGAAAGTAAAAGCCTGCATACAAAAAGCCTTTCAAGATACGCTGCCCTTGCTCACAGACAGTATTGTCTCCGAGTGGAAAAAGGTACGTTTTTAGAGTAGAGAGAGCTGTTGAATCCCAAGGGTAATTATGATTGTAGGAGGTGACTCTGGTGGACTTTTCTTGCCTTCATCATATGACTAATAGGTAAATATGTTTGTTTTCACCAGTGAAAACGAGCTTCATTGCAGCCGAGCTAATGGATTCCATTTGGTGCTGTTTTTTTATTGCTCCATAGCTCCAACTATGAGGCAGGTCATTTAGCCTCTAGACAGCTATTACTTAAACATATATGTGTGTTGTTCTTTATAAGGGCATGACATTTTAGAAACTAAATAATTGTAGTCCTAACCACTTCAAGAAGTATACGTCATATGAAGACAGGATTGTTTGTTTGTTGTTTTTTCTGAAGAGGTTAGAAGTCAATATCTTGTCCTCAATGAATTTATGTCTTATTACACACAAAGTGCCAATGAGGTCCCAAAATTGTTAAAAAGAAAGAAACAAGCAAGAGGTTTGATTCATTTGCCAAAATTCCTGGAGTCCGTTTCGTAGGTACCCCATATGTGTATGTGCAGAATGAGTTCTCTGTGTTCTTTTAGTCATACAAGTACTGTCTGAGACCAGATGAATCCAGCCTGAGCAATTTAGGATTGAAGGATGAGGCATTCATGAAAATTCCAGAATCATGTTCTAGTGTATGACCAGCCTGTTTCAGTGTTTAGGACCAGGTGGGAAAGTGTCTGACTAGATTGAGGCAAACGTTAGCCATTAGCATTCAGGTCTATGAAGACATCACCATTAAAGGCTTTTCTAGGCCATTTTTGAGCATTCAGTGCTAATGCCTACTGGAAATGCCTATAAGCCAGGGTGGGCATTCCAATGTAGGAGGCAAACTAGCAAGTTGCTTTGGGCAAATCTGTTTTGTGGTTGGCCATCCAGAAAAAAGAGAATCCAGCTCCCTGGCCCAATTCCTGCCCCTGACGTCTGTTGGCCTGTCTGCATCCTCCATATGAAAAAGGACAGAACTTTCGAGCCGGAGGGACTGAAGTGGGCAGCCCTCCTTATCCCTGTTCATGTGTTTATCCTTGATTTTACAGTGGTGTTACTATTACATAGTTGCCATCAATAAAAATGACTGGCAAGATTACTTCCCATGAGCATTGCCTAATACTTCGTTGAGAATCTTGGGAAGAAATATTAAAGTAAGAAAAATAGCAGTTTTTAGGAGTAGAGGTGATGAAGAAATCATGTTGATGCTTTTAAATTTGTTTGTCTAGAAAAGAGTCTTTACAAGTGAAAAAATTGACACTATCTTTCTCATACTTGTGTTTATTATACATGTTTATTACATGCCAAGTTTAGTTGCTAATGAATTTGACTTTTCCTTTAGTGGAAATGTGGGATTTTCAAGGCATTTCATTTTATGTCAATGCAAAATCAATCTGGAGCTCTTCCAGGGCTTATAATTGCACAAGCAGTGTAAGCCCATCTGTGTGACTTATCTGGCTCACGGCTGTGGACATGAGACAATGCAGCTCAGAGTTTAGACTTGCACAGCTGTCCTTGGGTGGGTCGACTTGCATTCCTGGGGACGATGACTTGAAATGCCTAATCTCCTGTTTGCCATAGAAACACTTGACCTGCTTGCTGCCTTGTAGCCAACCCAGCTCAGGACACTGGGGGTCAATTCGTGATTCCAAGTTTGCAGTCCATGTTCCAAAAATATGAAAGGCTGATCTATAGTTTATTAAATCCACAGGGTTTAGAATTGCTCATGGAAATCGAAATAGACCAAGAGCTTGCTAAGATGGGAAGGATGCAGGAGTGAGAAAGACAATTTCTAAGAAAATGTTTTATCAAAAGATATTAATAAAATAGTTGTTAATGGATGGAAGAGAATGGAAATATTGGGAGAATTTCAAGCAAACTTAAGGCAGCACATTCTGTCACCGTCGCGAGACAAGTTAAAGCTAGATAGCAATGTCACATGTTCTGTTTCTTTGGCAGTTAGTAGGTGTCCAAAATCCGAACATACTGCTTTAAAAACCACTGAATTTAGTAAGTCTAATGCCCAAGAGAGTGACAGACACTAAGAGCCTTCATCATGAAGAAAGGCCTTGTGCAATAGGTCCATTTCTTTAAGCATTGCCTGTCTTTAATTTGGAATTCAAGTGTCTTTCTTACCTAGCCTAGTAACAGAATATGTTCAAGTACTTGTTTTGAATATGTTAGGAAGTAAAATATTTGTATCATAGTTGCTAGAGAATTTGACTCCTGTTGTAGTGAAAGTGTGCTAGATCAGAAATAATTCTGATATTGTTCATTATCTCCTGTCCTGTGTTGTAGCCAGCCAGGGAGGCCTGTCCATTTGCATATTGGATGCTGTTCATATACCATCCTAAGAGAGACACTGCTGATAATTAAAGCAAGACTGTTGATAGGTGGTGTTTTCTTTTTGTATTTGTTTGTTTTATTTTTTTGAGGCAGGGGTTCTCTGTGTAGCCCTGGCTGTCCTGGATCTCGCTCTGTAGACCAGACTGGCTTCAAACTCACAGAGATTCACCTGCCTCTGCCTCTCAAGTGCTGGGATTAAAGGCGTGCACCACCACTGCCCGACTCCTTTTGCATTTTTAATATTAGAATTATGTTTCTTTGTTCTTTAAAGTTAGAATTTTAAACACATATTTGTAGATATTTTTCCCAGGTGTTAAGTAAGAAGATAATTTATTTCAGAGAAATGTGGTCAAGACCTCTGCAGATCCTGTCAGCTGGAACCCTGGCCAGGGAGACCCTGGAGTCCCAGTATTCCTTCCTGTCTGCACCTCTGGACGCTGTGCTCAGCCCTTGGCCTTGCCAGAAGCGGGAGCGGGAACTGGTACTGATTTTGTTTCCTGTCTAGATTGCATTCTGTGTTCAGGGCAGGGTTCGCTTAGGCCTCTTCTAGCGTGATGGGCTTCTCTCTGTGCACAGATGATGCTTACAAAGTGAAGAGTGAGAGTTGGCTAGACCAGTCAGAAATTTTGTCCTAACTGTTGAGAAATCAAGGGCTTCATACAAGAGAATTGCCAAATATGGATAGTGGAGACTATGTTCAAATCACTGAAACTGATTTCTTATTGTTTCTCTCTTTATTTAATTAAAATACAATTATGTCATTTAGCCTCTCCCTTATGTCCTTTCAATCCCTTCCATCCATCCCCCCAAACTTATAGTCTCTTTTTATTTCATTATTATTATTATTAGTGTGTGTGTGTGTGTGTGTGTGTGTGTGTATGTGTGTGTGTGTGTGTGAGAGAGAGAGAGAGGGGGGGGTAGAAAATAGATAAATGCAAACTTTTGAGTCTGTTTAGTGTTGGTTCTATATATAATTTCAGGGCAGACCATTTAGTATTGGGTAGTCAAAGTGCTCATCTCTGGGAAAGACTAATTCTCTCTCTCTCTCTCTCTCTCTCTCTCTCTCTCTCTCTCTCTCTCTTTCTCTCTCTCTCTCTTCTTCCCTTCCTCCCCCTCCCTCCCTCTCTCTTTCCCTCCCTCTCTTTTGCTTGCCTTATTTGCCTGTAGTTCTTGTTTAGGGGGTGAAGCCCTGTGAGACTTAGCTCATCTACTTTGGCATGTCACCTGGTATTATAATTGTTCAGATCTTGTTTAAGCAGCCATGTTGTTGAGATTTCATTAGCGTTTCTTCCCTATCATATCTAGAAGGCACAATCTTACAGCTGTCTTCCTAGACCCCCTCCGTAATTTCCATGGAGTACCCTGAGCCATGGTATAGGAGTAGTGGTGTAGATGTATCATTTAGAGATGGGTGCCTGACAATCAGCTGCTCTCTGCATTTTGGGCAATTGTGGATTTCTGTAATAGTTTCCTTCTGCAAAAATGAATATTCTTTGAGGAGAGAGGTGAGTGCTTCATTTATCTGTGGGTGTAAGGATAACTATTTAGAATGCAGTTAGAACTATACTGGTTTAGGAAAGTGGCAGTATTAGGATCTAGGACTTCACTAACCATGGTGGTTGGCTGGGTTGACAGTTCCAGGCATGATTCCCTCTTGTTGAGTGGGCCTCCCAGTCCAATCACAGAGCTGTTGGTTGCTGCCAAGTTATAAGTGCCACTGTTGCACCTTTAGGAATATCTTGCCTTGCTGGTCATTGTTGTGATTTGTAGGCATGACAGCTGGGTAGGACTTGATTGCTTTCCTCCCTTGACAACTTGCCTATCAACTTCTGGTACTAAGAAAGCTAGTCTTTCAGGTTCGATCAAGCTCAAATCCCCCACTGTGTGTGTGGTCTGCAGCCATAGGGACTTACCTTCAGCTCTGGGGAGGCAACATAGGGCAGCATAAATAACCTGTATTGTTTTGGGAGTCTCTTGGGCTAACTTGACCAACAACTCAAAAGAAGGTTTCTCATGCCTGGTTCTGCGGATTTTGTTAGATCTCCGACTTGTGGGGGAATATTATCTTCCCAAGTGTCATAACTTCATTTATACTGTGTGTTTGTATGCACATGTAAGTATTGCATATAATATTAGGTAAATATAAAATATGATTCCCTATGGCTATTTCAGACATCTTTAGTGTTATCCATCCCCCTCCTTCTGTATTGTCTTCCCTCTAACCTTCCTAAACCCCCTACCTTCGTTTTTCTTATTTCCCCAGTTGTTTATATATATACATTTGTGTGTGTGTGTGTGTGTGTGTGTGTGTGTGTGTGTACATGCAGTGGTAGGGTAGGGACACATGTGCCACCATGCAGTTGTGGAGGTCAGAGGACAACTTTATAGTCTGTTCTCTCCTTCCACTGTGGGATCGGGGATGAAACTCAGGTAGTCAGGTTTGTGCAGCAAGTGCTTCTACCTGCTGATTCATCCTGCAAGCCCTGTTTCAACTGTTTCATTAATGCAAATCTTTCTGGTGCACTTTGACCATTTTTTATTTGTATAGATTTTAGGACAGGTATGATGCTTTTTTCATCTATTCATTTCTAACATAGCAAAGTACATGGTAATGCATAAGCATTTGACGCAGTAAAATTTTTCCTTTTTTGAGTAATGTTTTTAAAATTTTTTAAATTTAATTTTTATGTGTTTGAGTGTTTTGCCTGCTTTTATGTCTGTGCACCACAGAAGCCAGAAGAGGGCATTGAATCTCCTGAAACTGGAGTTCCAAACAGTTGTGAGTCCCCATGTGGGTGCTGGGGATTGGACCCAGGTCCTCCGGAAGAGCAGTCAGTGTGCTAAACTGCTGAGCCATCTCTCCAGCCCCAAGTAACTTATATCTTACACTATGCTGTTGCCCTTTGTATTCAGAGTTTACCTGGGAATATGAGGCTGTTTCTTATTCACTGAGATTTCTGAACTAGGACTTGGCAAATCCCTAAGAGTCCATCCTTTCCAGTATACTGAACCTCTGTAGTCTGTTCCTGTCCTACACCTACTCTCCTGCTGTGTAATTGGCACTTCTGTTGTAACATGCAAAGAGCGGACAGAACTGTGTATTGAGTCACACGTTCTCATGACTTAACGCAGTATCACAGTGGTCTTTGGTTGGCAGGTTTTGTCGATGTTCTCTGCAGAGCCTTTCCCCTTACCTCTAAGTTCTAGGTGGCTGGGAATACCTTATTGAGAGTTTCTTTAGTGGATGGCAGTAAGACCCTACTTTGTATTTTGTTTCATGTATCACATTTGTAATAACTTGAGAGTTACATTGTAACCTATTAAATGGTAGAGATAAAATTTAGATGTGACTTGGCTTTTTGTGGAAGAAATTGTCTTTGACTGAAGGCCAACAGCACTGTACAAAAATTCATTTTTCTTTCTCTTGTCTTTTTCCTGTGAGCATATCTGTAAACTCATTAGGAAAGACTAAATCCTGTAAAGTCCTTTATTGTACCTGTCTTAGTTAGGGTTTTTATTGTTCTGAAAAGATACCATGACCACGGCAACTCTTATAAAGAAAACATCTAATTGAGGTGGCTCCCTTACAGTTTCAGAGGTTCAGTCCGCTATCATCACGACGGGGAGCATGGCAGCATGCAGGCAGAGGTGGGACTAGAGCTGAGAGTCCTACATCTCGCAGGCAACAGGAAGTCAACTGACACAGTGGGCGGTGTCCTGAGCATAGGAAACCTCAAAGCCCGCCCCCACAGTGACACACTTCCTCCACAAAGCCACATCCACTCCAACAAAGCCACACCTCCTAATAGTGCCACTCCCTATGAGCCTATGCGGCCAATTACGTTCAAACTACCACAATACTACTTCCAGAAGTTACCATGGGGGATATGAGATTTGGTTTTAGTTTCCTAATCTTATTATTTTAAGTAATTTGACCACTGATGATGAAATATCTCATATATGCCAAGAATATAAATAGTGTGTAGGTAAGTTATGAACGCTAACACCAGGAACCCACCGTTCGGCTTATGAAATAGTAGGTCTGCAGTACACCACAGTTCCACCCACAGCAGCTCCCAGCCTGTGGTAACAGAGAACCTGATTTCCTGCGGGGCGTTTACCCACCAACCCCACAGTTCCCCAGAGTTTTCTTGAGTGCGAGCAGCAGGGAATATTAGATAGAAGGATTTGGATTGTGGAGATAAACAGAAAATACAGGGTAGCCTCAAGAGGGCCTGGAACCTATTCCAACGGGCCCTGACTGTCTCTGCCCCAGGGGATTTATAGAAATGCCAAGGGGTGGAGCAAAAGACCTCCTCCCCCAGCACAGCCAAGTGCAGACCATCTCAGACACCTGCACTCAGGCCCGTGGTCCTGATCATCCTCTATGCGGACCTGCTGGGTAAAGCCACGAGGAACCTGAAAACGGGCTCCCACAAGTTCCAAAAGCCATTTAGGTTTTTCTTTTTTTCATCTTGACAATTATATATTTTTTACTTAAACATGATAAAAATGGATTGATACACATTATATTCTTTGTAATTTGATTTTTCTTCACCTAAAGGATGTCTAGGATAGCACTTCCCCTGTACATTATACTCATTTACACTGTGTCCTGTACTCATTCGCCTTTGCATCCTTTGACAGAAAGCGTTCCCATGGTGTCTCCTGAGGACTAATATTCTTTCTTTTCTTCCCCCTCATTTTTTTGCTTGTTTGTTTTTAAATTTATTTATTTTACATCCCAACCACGTTTTCCCCTCCTTTCCCCCCATTCCCTCCTCCTCTGTTTCTGTGCAGAAAGGGGCAGCTTTTCCATGGGTATTAACAAAGCCATTCTTTTTTCAAAACAGAACTTATTCATTTGAGGTTTATCGTCTGTTCAAGAATCTATTCAGATTGTGTCTCCTTGGCTGGAAGGCTACACTGATAGTATCTTTTCCATCTGGAAGCACAGTGGCCATTTTTCTTTTATTGTTGAGGTTAATTTTGATCACCTGGTGAAAATTGTGTTTATTCATTATATAATTACTGCCCTCCCTCCATCTGCAGCCAGTCAGCAGTCTGCAGAGAGGCACTTTGAGGACCTTGCAAACAGCCTTCTCGTTAAAGCCTTCTCTTGGATATGGTGGTCGCTGGTGATTCTTGCCTGATTGTCTTTATATCCTGGTTGCAAAATGATAAGTTTTCCAACTCCGAACATCTCTCTACATTTACCACTTGGCATTCAGCATGTTTTTATAATAATAAAAACAATTCTCTTTATTTACTGGTTCGTTTGTTCAGCTATTGATCTCTCCATTCGTGTCATTATGTGTACGATTCACATATTCTTAGTTTTCAATACTTTGTACTTTCTGGCTTGCCAAGATATTTCTGTTTCATTTTGTACATGCATCTTCTACTTTTGAAGTTAGCCATTTTTCTCCTCATTGGTGTTTTGCCATGAGTGTCAGATCTCCTGGAATGGGAGTTACAGACAGGTGTGAGCTGCCGTATGGGTGCTGGGAATTGAACCTGGGTCCTCTGGAAGAGCAGTCAATGCTCTGAACCTCTGAGCCATATCTCCAGCCCCAGTTAACCATTTCTTAAAAAGTCTTTTATGAAGTTCCCTTTATGGAGAATGGTATTCAATATTAAGATCTGGGCATTGGTTTCATAGCAATTTTAAACTGGATGGCATTATCGAGTTTAATGGATCAAAGCATTAAGCCTTACAGAGGCTAAGTAACCATGCCAACAAGTATTGGGACGGAAGTTAGACCTGGCCTCCCTCTTGAGCACCCTGCTCTTTCAATTATGCTGTGGCCTTTGGTCACGAGTTCTGCCAGCTGGGCTTCTTTTCTCTTGCCTGCCCGTAACCCAAACAGTTTCATAAAAAGGTTTTGTATTATTTCATTTTTTTCCAGATAAAAAGATCTTTGAAATTAAAGATTGGTGCTGTGGACACTGCTTCCGAGAACTTGAAAGGGAAACGCAGGAGTGTCGAGATCTGAAAAGGAAGCTGGAGAAGTGCCGTAGGCACCTTCAGCATTTAGAAAGGACGTACAAGGCTGCAGTGGAGAAACTTGGAGGTCAGCACTTCGGGCTCACTGCTACCCTAGGAGGCTGGCGGGGCCTGGCTCCCATGTTGAGGCGGAACGCTCCTGTGAACGTGGGCACCAGTGCTCTTGTGGAGCTGATAGAATCCAGTTTGGATCTGTCTTTACTAACTGAATTAAAGAGCTTCACATTCCTTTCTCGATGGATGAGACCTCGCAGGCCTGAGTGTGTGTCAGGCAGTGCTCTGTGCACTGGAAATGGAAGTGTTGGTCAAGTCAGGCTTTGCTCTGGGAAGTGGGAATAGCATAAATAAAGCGTGGGGGTCTGGGCCAGCCTCGCTCCGGTCCACTCGTGCATGCTGACAGGGCTGTCCACTACCGTTTCCCATGGCCCCTCCGAAGAAGGGAGCTGTTGGCCTTCCGTGTCTCCTCTGTCCTCCTCTTCTCCACTCCCTCTACCCCGTCTTCTTGACTGGACATTTGAACCGTTTCCGGTTGTTTCCTTTGCTGCTGAGCCTTGCCTGTGGTATTATCACTCTGTCATGTGTCCTTGACCCTGCTGTTTACTTTTTGGTCTAACTTTCATGCTTTAGGATTAACTCACGAAATGTTCTCTGTAAAGTCCTTGATTTTCCCAACGGAGATGGGTGGGCACAGCAGTATGGGTTCCTCCTCCATTCTCTCTGTTGCTGTTCTGGATTCTACCATCCAAACTGTTTCTTATCTTACTTGTCGTCAGAGTCATAGTACCCACATTATACTAAACAGTAAATGTTTGAATGACTAATTACAACAATAAAAACAAACCTGAATGCCGGGGTTTCAAACAGTTGTGTGGGGGTGTGGAGAGGCAAGCAAGCCGTTCACTTATTCTTGGCTTCACGTCACATCTGGTCTTACCTGATGTTGACACTCACTCTCACGCCTTTCTGCTTCCTTCCTTATCTGCTAGTCTGTCCTTCATGAAGCAGCTAAAGGATTGGATTGTAACACTTTCTTGTTAAGCCCTCCTCAGTGTTTGTAATTTTTACTTAGTAATATTTAGCACTCTACACTGTGATCATGAAATGGTTATTTTATTGTATTTACTTACTTAGAGACAGCATCTCATTATAGAGCCCTGGCTGGCCTGGAACTCACTTTGTAGGCTAAGTTGGCCTTAGATTCACAGAGATCCACCTGCCTCAGCCTCCTGAGCACTGAGATTGAAGCCGTGTGTCGCCACACCGTGTGTAGTTACTGTGCATAGTGAGTTTTGAAGTTGGTATCTTGTGTCAGTCAAAAGCTCCAAGAAAGGTGGCTTCTTTCCAAACAGTGGACTGATGAAAGAGCCAGGGTCAAAATTAAGTAAGGCATTTGATGATTGTATTGCATTCTTGTCATAAATCTATTACATGACCCCTGTAGTTCTGCTTGTTTGTTTTTAAGTTCCTTTTTTGATAGCATTCATCAAAGAGTGATAGAGTAGGTGTGAGTGGCTTCCAAGTCCACTGCACTTGTGTCTTAGTTCTTAGGGTCTGCTGATAGGGTGGCTTTGTTCACAGTTACTGAGCATTGGTATGCAGTAGTTGTTTTATTAGTGTGTAATCTGTTAAGATGTGTAACACTGTCCCCATTTTACACCTGGGACAACTCAGGCTTAGAAAGATAAGGAATTTGCTCAGGCCCATCCAGCCAGTAGACTGAGTTAGTAAACATTGTGTTATTTCACCTTGGGTCTGCACTCTGCCGGGCAAGCTTTCTGCTTCCCAGCCCTTGGGCTCTGTCAGCCTCTTCTGAACACCTTGCACTATGTAAAAGAAGGGTACCTACTTTAGGTTATTCTCTTTTTACTTTCTGTTGAGGACTTGCTCAATGATGGTCTTTATGAACATCAACTCTGTACTAGGAGCTGAGCATACATAGAATTAGAAAACCTGGATCTTGGTGGGGAATGTAGCTGCTGGCAGAATTCTTGCATGCCATGCACAGCACTCAGTTCCAGCAGAGGCACATCAAGAAGCAAAGCAGCCCCATTCTGGAGAGCTTCCCTGCAGCTGGGAAGCTCAGCACGCACACCCCAGACAGCGGGACACCAGTTTCAGGATATGTGCAGTGGAGATGAAGAGGAAACATTTTAAATGCTGAGAAAACTGCACAGGGGAAGGTTCCGTGCAGGGCTGACCGGGGAGGTGACACGGGAGAGAACCAGAAAGTAGGCAGCCCCCTCTGAAGCACTTCCGTAGATTAATGCTGGCTTTCTGTTGTAGAAGAGAACAGCAGAGTGGTTGAAGAATTAATAGAAGAAAACAATGACATGAAGAATCAATTGGAAGCATTGAGGGGCCTTTGCAGATCACCACCACGGTAAAGTTTTATAGTTAAGACCATCTCATTCTGAGCGCCTTAATGTTAGTAGAAATGTCGCCCTGAATCATTGTGTTATTTCACATAAAATATATTCACAGGGAAGACTGTATTATTCCTTTGTTTTGTATCACTTAGGCTGTTTATATACACATGCCATGTGAACAATGTTCAAAAAATTGGGATTTGGGGATTATTGTAACCCTTCACTAGTAAGATTAGAGAAGCATTTCCCTGTGTTACTAGGAACCTCCTACATCGTGCTCTCCAGTAGCTGTGTACATTTTCACCTTGTGGATTTGCCAGTATTTACTTAGGCAATCATAATGTTGATTTGCTGATTTCCTTTTTTTGTTTTGTTTTTGAGACAAGGTTTAATGTCTCCCAAGGTTGGCCTCAAATGTAGTTCAACATTACCTTGAATTTCAGCCTCAGTCCAGTGAGTGCTGGTTTATAGGTGTGCACTATGATTCCTGATTTCTGGGGTGGAACCCAGGGCTTCATGGATGCTAAGCAGTCCCTCTACCAACTGAGCTTCTACCCCGGCTTTCCCCTTATACTAAATAACTGAGTAATGGTGGTTCCTTTGTGTGGCGTCCTGGGCATATCTCATGTCATTTTATTAGATTGTAAGAATGCGTGTAACTCTTTCAAGTGATGCTTTTTATTTACACCTTCTGTTGTTCTGCAATTTTTTTTTTTTTTTTTGGTTAGGTCACTGTCGGAAGGAGCCATTGAGAGCGAGTGGCTGCCATGCAGTAGGCAGGCCTTGGAAGAACTCCGTGGACAGTACATTAAAGCGGTCAAAAAAATTAAACGTAAGTCCCTAAAGAGATTCTCCAGATCCTTGCTGGGGTGGGTCTTTTACACTGTCATAAAATGGAAACTCAGGGTTTACCATTTTAGTGAATTTTCCAAACTGCCTTTTTCTTCAGCCTTAGAAGAGATTATTGATGCCATCTCAAAAATCACATAGTAATGGATTAGTTTGCCCAAGTGACACCAGTAGGGTTTTTTTCCCTAACATTTATTTTTATTTTACATGTATTCATGTATTTTACATGTATTCAAGTATGTGTCTGTGCACCATGTACATGCCTGATGCCTGTGGAGGCCAGAAGATGGCATCAGGTCCCCTGGCACTGGAGTTAGGGGTGCTTATGGGCCACTGTGTGGATGCTGGGAACTAAAGCCTGATCCTCTGCAAGAGAAGCCTGATGGGGGAATGTCTTTCTGTACGCTGTGAATATGCGTTGCTCTGATTGGTTGATAAATGAAGCCATTTGGCCTATGGCAAGGCAGCTTGGAGGCAAGTGGGACATTCTAACTAGAGAGACTGGAAGGAGGCAGAGAGATGCCAGCCAGCCGCCCAAGGAGCAACATGTAATGGGACATAGGTAAAGCCACAGAAAATGTGGCAAAACATAAATTAGTAGAAATGGGTTAATTTAAGATATAAGAGCTAGCTAGCAGGAAGCCTGCCATGACCATACTTTAAAAATAATGTAAGCCTCTGTGTGTTTACTTGGGTTTGAGCAGCTGCGGACCGGGTGGGACACAGGAAAACTTTCAGCTACAGAAGCCAGTACTTTTAACCACCGAGTCATCTCTAGTTCCTAAGAATAGTTACTTTTATATTGTTGATTATCATTTTTTAATTTTTGTTTAGATGTTAGACACAGATTACCTTAAAATGTAATAGCCTCAGAGCATAAATAACTTGCAGTAAAGAACATGCCATGGGAAGACTGAAATATGGCAGAGGGAGGGATGGAGTGGGGGAGTGTGTCATCTAAGTCAGATTCCTATTGTAGACATAGGAACTGTGGGGATGAGTCTAGTCAGTATTATTTCTTCTTATTCCAAATGGCTAGGAATTTGTCAGGGCTTTGTCAGTACCAGCCGCCTTGTAGAGCATCTCCAGGGTGCCTCCAGAGTAAAGACGCCTGTGTTTTAACTACAAAAGTGCATGGCATGGGTGTGTATCTCATACAGCAGTCAGGGCTTATGTAGAGAAATGGACTTTCCTCCTAAAATTGCTTTCATTTTTTAACAAAAGGCAGGAAAAGTCTCTGATTCTAATCGCTGGATATCAAAGTCATTTGTAGATGTGAAAGGCCAGTCAGTTTCATCAGTGAGATTTCTCAGTTACTCTTCATCATACTAGCAAAGGGCAAGGTTACGGCAAACAACTCTTATAAGAAGTGGAAATGACCCAGTTTTCATCCTGATATAAGGCACGTGTTCTGGTTTAGTTAACATTTGGAAGGGTAATTGGAGGTTAATGTGGTAACATCATTTCAGTTCTCCCATCTCACAGAGGGAAAAGTGGACCCCCAGTTAGCATTTGTACACAGAGCATCTAATTTTCAGATGTTTACTGGCATTGACAGGGCAGTTCCTGTGTGAGTAGGCATTCCTGATATAAGAGTGGCTAAGTTCTAGATGTAGAATGTAGTCCTAGATTTATTTAAAAGTTAGCTTTCACCAGTAGTAGTAAAAATGAAAGCCACAGTGACGAAGAGAAAAGTATGGATTATGATTTTATGTGACCTTCAGACGGAAACATAGTTCTCCCCACTCTGTGCAGAACATCTTGTGCGACCCTTGTGAGTTGTTTACTGAAAGCACTGGCTGAGCGTGGACTAGAGACCTTTAGAGCACAGGGAAGGACGTATGTTTTCCTCCTTACCAGTGTCTGCCTTTCTGCCCACTCCTGGGGTTTCTTTCTTACCTCAACTGAATCATAAGGTACAGTAGAACACAGACTTCTTGCTCACTTCGTTGAGTGTTTCAGAACGTCACAGAATCCACGGTGTTTTTCCCCACATGCAGCCATCGCCATCTTAGGGCGTCATGACAGAGTGCTTTTCTTTTGAGTCTACTCAAACGGCACTGTGAAGTGTTCCATTGCAAAGAGCGTGGGAAGTACAATGTTTCAACTGTGCTCCCTTTCACCTCATCTGCCAGGAAACTGCTCTGAAGTTTGCACCTTCTGTTTTTGGAGAAACAGTGAAAATCATGGGGGTTTCTTCACCCTCTGCAGGTGACATGCTTCGATACATTCAGGAGAGCAAGGAAAGAGCCGCAGAAATGGTGAAGGCGGAAGTGCTGCGGGAACGGCAGCAAACTGCCCGCAAGATGCGCAAGTATTATCTGACTTGCCTTCAGCAGATCCTGCAGGATAACGGAAAGGAAGAGGGGTGAGTTCAGTGTACACTGTGTGTCCTGACCGCACCAGGACAGAGTGCTGTCAATCATGTACACTGTGTGTCCTGACCGCACCAGGACAGAGTGCTGTCAATCATGTACAGTGTGTGTCCTGACCGCACCAGGACAGAGTGCTGTCAATCATGTACACTGTGTGTCCTGACCGCACCAGGACAGAGTGCTGTCAATCATGTACAGTGTGTGTCCTGACCGCACCAGGACAGAGTGCTGTCAATCATGTACACTGTGTGTCCTGACCGCACCAGGATGGTTTATGTGATCATGTACACTGTGTGTCCTGTCCGCACCAGGATGGTTTATGTGATCATGTACACTGTGTGTCCTGACCGCACCAGGACAGTTTATGTGATCGAGAGAGTAGTTTAGGCTGGGTTTCCCTCGGTGTTGGCAGAGCCATTAAGAAACAATCCCAGGACTGAGGAGTCTCGTGGGTTTCATTTTAAATTGTTCTGATTTTATATTCTGGAATCCCCCACAGAGCTGAGAAGAAGATTATGAATGCTGCTAGCAAACTCGCTACAATGGCAGAGTTGTTGGGAACAATCGCAGAGTCAGACTGCGGAGTCAGGTGTGCGCAGGCAGGCCACTCAGGTGGGTTCTCTTTCCGTTTGGATAGCTGGTACTCTCTGTATGAAAAAAGGTGGCTCCATAAGGAGTCAGCTGGTCATAAGGTTGTACTTGGGGTGAGGAGAAAGGAGAAAGCCGGTTTGCAATTTCCACAGGTACAAACTCATAGCCTCACCAACTGTCGCTGTGGCGTCCATCCATCCAGAGGAGTGGTGGACAAGATTGTAATTGACAAAGCAGGGAAAAAAGGCAAAATTGTAACCGGATTTTGAGCAGTTGCAGTTGATAGGCCAGAAGCTCTAGGATGTGAGAAAATGGGGAACCTCAGCTCAGAACTGCCCCATGGCAGCACAGGGGGGGCAACAGCAAAACCTGTGTCACGTGCGGGATCGTGTGTCCCAGGAGAAGCAGTGGCCCGTGGTGCCGGCGGGAGATGAGCTGGTGGTGTAGAACAGTGCCCAGGTGGAAATACTGGTTTCATTTCTCCCCTTTCCTTCTCCTCCCTTCTCCTCTTCTCCAGTTCCCTTCCCCACCACTCTCCTTCCCATTCCGTTTCTCTTTTCCCTTCCCAACCCTGGTATTGGACCAGGTGGAGGCAGACCAGAGTGCTGGCTGCCTGGCGTCGAGAATGTGCTCGTAGCCTCTGTCCTGAGCGTCGGCTGTCGGGTCTTTCTGCCTCCTTGCAACACAGCTGTTCCCCTCCACCAGCTCCTCAGTCATGCAGCACAGACAGACACTGCATTCAAGACATCTAAGAGTAAACATTTAACCAAGAACCACCATGCATTTCAAGAACATCGTCAGCGTGAAAGAGATGTAGAAACAGATGCAGAACAAAGCTAACAATGCCTACCGAAGGCAAAAGACTACTTAAAAAGCAGAACCTGAGGATGTTCAGAAGATAGTGACTGTTCTTAGAAAGCTGTAAACTTTAGGGAAGCCAAGAAGAAGAAGTGAATATATGACTTCCAGACTACTAGAGGAAAACCTTTAAGAAAAAGTTTAGTCTAACAAAATCAAAAAAGAGATAAAAAGCCAGAAGACATACATAAACAGATACTAAAAGTAGGTTGCAACATCAGCAACCACTGAATGTGAATGGGGTAAGGGTTTCACAAAATACTGATACTTGCTATTTTTACAAGAACTCAAGGTAATAGAGAATGATAACAAGGAGATGAAATGAGGCTATTGGAATTTAAACATAAATACATAAGCGGGCAAAGTAGCGCGTACATTAAAGAAGTAGGTGATAATGAAATGATGTCCTGTAGAACACAGCTTTAGTGTCTGAAGAGTAAACACTGGTAGAAACACAAGGAGAAAATTGCTATTTCCCAGTTAACATGCCAATGTGGGAAGAACCCTCTGATCTTCTGGTCACCTGGAAGCCGAGATTGTGCAGGCACCCAGAATGTTTCTCATACAGCCACAGGCTTTACTTGTGTAGGTGTTGGATTGGTGCACTTTAGGTACAAAGGGCAGTGGCACGTAACAAGAAAGCCGACTCTGGTTTGGGGGCAAGGACGTGAAAATCATGTCCTCAGTCGAACCTGCTTCTGTCGGTCAATTCAGGGTTCCGAGGTCACTACTCAGATCATCTCAGTTCTGTGGCTGGCTTTCCTCCGATCTGGGGCCGTGTCCTGGCTTTTACAGAGGGGTCTTCCTTCTGTGTACCATGGGGTTGTTCTGCACACTGTGTCAGGAACTTCATGCCCGACATCAGAGGCAGAGCCACATTGCTTTGCAGTCAGCTCTTACAATGTTGTAGTACCCATCCAAAAAAAGATGGAATGGCTGAGAATAAGGCTTCCTTCCTCCTCTGGTGACTCCAGCTGTGTCAAGTTGACATAAATCTAGCCAGCACAGGATGTAACGTTTCAGCCACAAAAACTACCATTGCTATGGATACGAGTAAAAGAATATTTATACTGGTCTATCACTGATGCATTTTCTTTGATAATACACAAAATTGTAAATATATTGTTCTCTTTAAAGTGTTTATTTTCTCTTAATTCTTGTGCTCCTAACTTTGTGTTCCTTTGCACATAGTAGCATTTCCCCTGACTTCAGAGATGCTGATGGGCGTTGAAAGATCAAAAAGGAGCAGTGTGAATCAGAATATTCCACAGTACATTGAAAGCAAACCAAACAGTGGAAAAACTATCCCCAGAAGTGTGTGTGAGCAAGTTCCTAGGAGGAGGGCTGCATCTAATTTCCAGAGGCAGTTAGAGGATTCAGAACACAGAGAAATAAAGCCCGTGACGTCTACAGCTTTGCCTTCAGTCCGTCAGTGTGGGGATGAGAGTTGCAGGCCCCCAGACATCTTGGCAAAGAATGTTGCTCCTGATTTTGTTCCACGTAGGGGCGAAGGTGGCTTTGATTTGCACAAGGAGAAAGACCCACCCGGTGGAGCTGGCTCTGAGTCACTTCTTTATTCAGCCATCCCCTTCCTTGGAACTGCTGAAAAGAAATCTTCACCTAAATGCGTCTCAGGATCCATACACACAAGCCTTGGAGGTCCCAGTGAAATACCAAGGCTCAAAGCATCTCTTTGTGGTTCTCTAACAGAAACTGAGAGTGCTGTATCTGAGACGAGTCAGGGTGTGGACACTCCAGTGAAGGATGAAGGGGGGCCTAGCAGCTCTCCAGGCCGGCTTTCTGATAGGACTTTACCCTGTGGCGATCGTCCTCTGTTGTCACAAAGGACTCTGGAGATGCTGGGGGACTCTGTTGAGTTGAAACAGTTCTCAGCAGCCAGTTGTCCTCCAGACGCCCAGAAAAGTAATATGGTCCGCCGGAGCGGTTACACTCCAGATCTGCCCAGAGAAACCCTGCCTTCCCAGCGAGGGAAGATGGGTGCGACTCTGGGACCCTCATCCCAGCAGAACAGAAAACTGAGTGGCACAGGACCATCATCAGTATGTCCAAAGCTTTTGAGAAAGTTAACTGCTCCCCTGACTAGCCAGCAAGATAGTGGCTTTGACAGCCCATTTGCCAATCTAGACTAATCATGTGCCATATTTCACAAGAATCATTACTATTCACACGAGAAACTGGATGGGAATACTTTATACTGAAAATCAATTATGAGGTCTGTCGTTTCATGTGCCTGATACTGTTCCTGAGTAAAGTTTTCTCATGCAGTTACTTGAGGCTTGGCGCTGCCTTAATCTTGGGGGCCTGGATGATGTGCTGTGTGCTGCGTCTGTGTGGTGCTTGTTCGGTTACTCAGCCCTCTACGTTTATATTTATAAGCTGACTTATTTTGCAGTGTTAAAGTATTTAATAAAATGGTGTGTAATCTGTAGATTTGTCATGATTTATTTGGTAGTTTATAGTCTAGAAATGGTACATTGACATCATACTTGAAATCAACTCAAAAAATACAGACTTTGGTTACTTGTGTATATGACCAGCCAGATGTAGTGTTAAGCTCAACTCATAAATATCAATATGTTGTATATTAGTTTTCACTGGTTTTCCTTGTGACTTGTTTTTTGATCTATGCGTTGTTTGGAAATATGTCACTTTATTTCCAAGAATTTGGGAACCACCCCCCCAACATATACATACACGGTTTTTCCCTATTTTTCCATTGTTTTTGGAGAATGTAATTTGAATGATTCCAGTTCTTTTATAGAGACTGGTTTTATGGTCTGTGGTGGAGTACCTTTCACCTGGCAAGAGTATCTCCCATTCACCGAAAGCTTTCAATGTGCCTTAGGTTTTTGGTTAATGGCATCACCAAGTCTGCCCCAACTGTGCTGATGGTTTTGCCTTTTGTCCCGGTAAGCAAGGGCTATGGAGAGCCACAGAGAGGGCTCAGTGCTTTAGAGCGCTGGCTTTTCTGACAGAGGACTCAAGTTTAGTTCCTAGCACCACAGAAAAGTGCCTCACAACTCTGTCTAAAGCTGATTCCGGAATCTAAAGCTACCTCTGTCCTCTGTGTGTATGCGTGCTCGCGCCCGCGCTCACATGCACACACACAGAGAAACAGATACACATGTCCATGTATAATAACATTTTCTACTGAGTAGTTATGTTAATTTCTGACTATGCATTACCTTGTCTTTCAGTTCTTTTTTGTTTCATGTATATATGTTGTTAGGTACATATGTGTATATGTCTGTTTATATTTGTTGTATCTTCCTAATGTGTTGATCCTCCACCATTATAAGATACCCTTTTAATTTAGTATTTCTAATCTTAAAGTTCATTCCACAGTAATACTGTAGCCACTTCAGCTCTTTTATGATTAGTGATCGCTTGATGTCGCTTTTCTGCTCTCTTCTTTTTACCCCTATTTTTTTTTTATCCTTTAATTTAATGGAAATCTCTGGTAGCATATTGTGGGAACTTGCTTTTTTTTTTTTTTAATTTTATCTAGACAAGGTCTCTTTTTCTCTCTTTTTCCTTCCCGCTTTCCTCTTCCCTCCCTCCTCCCCTCCTTCCTTTCTTTTGCAACAGTGTATATAGACTCTTGGGTGTAGGGCCTGCCCCCAATCATTGTCAACTTCTCAGAAGTCACAGCCTAAACCGACTTTTCCCTCTACCAGTGTCTTAGTTAGGGTTTTTATTGCATTGAAGAGACACCATGATCACAGCTACTCTTATAAGGAAAACATTTAATTGGGATGGCCACTTACAGTTTCAGAGGTTTAGTCCATTTATCATCATGACAGAGCGTGGTGGCATGCAGGCAAATGTGGTACTGGCTCCGTCTTGGCTTGTAGGTAACAGGAAGTTGAATAACACACTGGGCGGTATCCTGAGCATAGGAAACCTCAAAGCCCACTCCCACAGTGACACACTTCCTCCAGCAAGGCTCTGCCCACTTTAACAAAACCACACCTTCTAATAGTGCCACTCCCTATGAGATTATGGGGGTCAAGTACATTCAAACTATATATTCCACTCCCTGGCCCCCATAAACTTGTAACAATATAATGCAGAATGTATTTAGTCCAACTTCAAAAGTCTCTATAGTCTATCAGTCTCAATCTTTAAAAGTCCAAAGTTCA